GACTCGATTTCAGAAGCATTATGTTTTTATATCCATTATTTCGGGAAAAATTTGGTGTATTTGAAATCCAATTTCGTGCCGTGCTTGGGTGTATGCTTCGAAAGTCGAAGAACCCATCTCTAGTGCAGACACTCTTCCCTCTCCCCACTTGCACTCACTACTAGTGTTTGTTAATGTGGCCATTGCCATTTGTTTGTTTATTGAACTCCCATTATTCATTTAAATTTATATGTAAATGCAGAACCAAACAATTGAAAAGAAGAAAGAGAGAGCAAGGAACCCACTTAAGCGTCTGATCAGGTAATCAATTAACGCTAATTACTAACTTCACACTCACAAAATGAAGAAATCAAAAGAACTCAGCGGGCGCTGCATCAAAGATGAAGAAGAAGAAGAAGCATACAAACTGTGGCAAAAGGGTAATGCACTGAGAGATTGGCCTCCTCAGAATGGGCCTCGGTTGTAGTCAGTAATAAGCTTTTATTATGGTATTGCTGGCTGCTTCTGCTTCTACTTCTGCTTCTGCTTCTGCCTTTCCAAATGAAGACAAACAGCAACAAAAACAAAAGCCACGACAAGTGCAACGGCCAAGAACGCACAACTGACCCACTGTCCACCAGTATGGACAACAGTTGGAGTCGTCAGCCAGACAGTCAGACGGGTGGACAGTCGGACAAGTCGGTTCGTTTCTTATCTGTTTGCTTAATTACACGGAAAAGTGGGGGGGAAAATAGTAATAGTGTGCATAGTGAGTGAAAGAGAGCGGACACTTGGGCCTCCGGTCGGTTGGGTGCGAGAGGGACACAGGAAGGGCAGACAAATTCAAGAACAACAACACAACAAAACGTTTCCATGGCACGGCCAAGGCATTCCTCCAAAGGTTTAATCAATTGTGGTCTGTTATTATTTTATTGTACTCTGCAGCTAGTTGTGCATAATTCCAGCTCTAATCGAGTAGCCAGTAGCTGGGGAACTCATATGGGCGACAAATCGAAGCAAAGGAGACGGCAACAAGATAATAGTACTTGGTATTAAAAATTTTAATTTGAAAGAATCGTAAAGTAAATTTCTAATGTGAGACACACTCGGAAATCAATATTTCTGTGTTGGAGATTAAAAATGTTTTCATAAATGTTTCAAAGATAATATAATTTGTTATAAAAAATAAAAAGTTACTGAATTATAATAAATATGAAAAAAAAACAATTTATATAAAATTTTTGAAAAAAAAATTTAATTTTTTAACAGAAACAAATAGAAGTAATAACTCCATTGTATTCAATATTATAACTAAGATGAAAATAGTTAAATAATTGACGTTATTATTAATTAATTACTGTTAAACAAGAAGTAAACTAAAGATGCACATGAGTAGCAGAATTGCACGGAATTCGATCTTCATATTGTATGTAGGGAGCTTTATTAGAAAAATAGAAATAGAAAAATAAAATAAATAAATAAAAATCACCCCAACCTGGTTCCAAAGCTTTACGCAGATTATAATATTCGTGATTAAATCTCGAAAAAAGCACAAAAGAAATACAAAGATTCAGTTATAGAGTCTAGAATACTTTGAAAGAATACCTTAAAAGAGTATTTCTATAGCATTGGAGCCCTTTCTGGTTCCTTTTGTTGTTGCTGCAGCGGGGGGCGTGGGGGACACACACACATCATGACATACAGAAATTTCATTTGATGTTTAATTGTCCGGCATTGTGATGAAATGTATGGATTAGTGATAAACGCTCAACATTCTTGTATGGGCGTTACCATTAGAACTTTAATGCCAACTAATTTCCATACAGTTTAATTGCCCATCACGCTCCCGGGCAAGACTGCCCCCACTTTGTTAACTTGGCTAATGAATTGGAGGCAGAAAATGTGGCGCAGCTGCAATGGCTTCTTGTTTTCGTTTTAGATTTTGACGCCTTTTCCAAGACTCATAAATATTTCATGTAGCGCAACAGCAGCAGCAACAACAACAACAAATCAACGCCGAAACTAAACAAAGAGTAGTAGTAGCAACAACAACAAAAACAACAGGAACAATCGGAGCAGCAGAGACAAGCACAGAATTTTTTTCGGTTTTTGGTAAGTCGTAAAATATTGATTGTAAGAAATGTAAACAGAAACATTATAGCTGGCGTGGGAATGTTGGCGGGGAGGGGGGTCGCTGCCGACAATTGTGTGGCAAGCGACGACGAAACCGACAACGCTGTCTCACAATATGGGCAATAAAAGATGCATTTATGTAGATGCTTGAGTGCAGATACAGATACTGCGACAGAAACAGATATAGCTGGCATATGCTCGCTCGATGTTTCCACGACTTCAGTAACTAGTCGATATGGGTCTTTAATGTGCGAACTGTTTGTCTGTATGAACCTCGATCATTTTTGAGCCATAAAAGCTGGGACGACTAGACTTGGCATGTGAACTATGTGAACTTTACATGCCTTGGCATGTAGACAGTTTACGACAAATATTATTATTTGCTTCATTTAAGGAAGGATCAACTTCTTTATCAGATATTCCTTAAACAATATATTGTTGCTTAGACATATATGTCCCGAGAAATAAAGTTGTATGTCCACCACAGTCGTTTTTAGGCGAGTGAATTTTTCGAGGTAGTCGTGGCACTTAATGACAGCAATAAACATAAAAAATTCCAATACATGTGTTTTTATATAAATGTACATCTACATACATATGTATAGTATGTATGCACGAGTTTACACATACGAGTACAGACATGAGTGTAGATCGCCCAGAAGGGGAATCTGCCACTTAAAACGCAATCAGAAAATATCATCAAATTGATTTAAATTTGAAATGTGAACAGAGTAGCGGCAGGGAGGCAGGCGAGGCTATGAGATGGCGCATCGCATGTAATTGTATTACAAAAGCAACAATAACAACAAGGGCAGCAGCAGCAAGCGAGGGAACGACGCTTCTACACAACAGCAACAACAATATTGTCAACGTCAACATCAACGACCTTTTGTAAATGATATGAAGAAAATGGGCGTATTTTACATGGAAGAAGAAGAAGAAATATCGTTAAAGGTGTGGCACGTCTGGCCCACGCTAGAAAGCAAAGAAAGTGTCATACAATCTGCTGCTTAGCCATAAAAATGTTTGGTAAACATTGAAATGAAATGCAAATGTGAAAATTTCGAAATAACAAAAAAAAACAATAACAACAATATTGCTGTCACTTGCAATAATTGCAACAGCAGCAACAACAGCAATGTGACCACAAAAATGGCGCACATTAAAAATCAGTTATGATGGCAAAATCTCTTGTTTTATATTTTTCGATGGTTTTTTTTGTTGTTATTATTTTTTTTTTATTAATGAAGCTTATGAGCAGCGCGCACGTCACAAGTCACTGAGCTGCAACTACAAAAACAACAACAACAACAGTTCGAGCCGCAGACTCTACCACATCCACAACAGCAGCGCAAGTGAAGCGTTTCTGCACACACACACACATACACTGAACGAACCACAAGCCTAGCAGCAACAACAGCAAAAGGAGAGCTTGACTGCACCTGTAACCAAGCGCCAAAGCACATTGCAGACACACACACACACACACATACGCGCCTCCGCTCCCACTCCCACTCCACTCCAAATCTCCCACTCGCATGTAAAAGAGTGCTGCCCAAGCAAGGCAAGCAAAAAAAAAAAGTAAGTAAAGCACAAAACACAGTTACGCTGTTGGTTCATTAATGACGACGCAGACGCAAACGACGTCGTCTGCATCTGCGCCAGCGTCGACGTCGGCTTCGGATTCGGCTCCGGCGCATATTCGCCACGTTTGAGCGATCACCGGCTAAAGAGTAGCAGGGAAAAAATTTCATTATTAACATTAACAACGCATATGTTTTGGTAGCTTTAGCCACGAAACAGACAACAAATAAGCTAAAGTGCATATTCGATGTAGTGAACAATTACAATTACCAACGGTGGACACTTATGCTTTTAATTTTTTTTCTATCTCTCTTTAAACATCTAAATAAAAGCTTTACAATACATTACAATAAGTAGAATCAAACTTAAAGGATTTAAACAAAAAAAAAAAAAAAAAAACAACTTACTACAAAGCAGACTATTTAAAATTTGCACTGTAAACATAAACAGTATTTTAAATTCTTTAGGTAGTCGAAAGAAGTGTGCACACACTGTACACTAGAAATAGTAACGAGTGTGGGGGGAAGGGGAAAACAGACCACCACCACAACAACAATTTCCGCACAAACGGAACTGATCTGCGACGGGAGAAGGGTGGATGGACTGCAGCCACACACAGAGGGTGCGCGACAAGTGCAAACGGGAGAGCTTTTATGGCAGCCATGCGTAACCGGCCGGCAGCGAACAGCATGAAAATAGACAATAATCATAATAAATTGTGGAAAGAGATACGGCACGCGGACAACAGCCCCAAACGCAGAATGCAGCGGAAGCGATCAATTACGCAATGTTTAGAACATTAGAGAAGTTCGCCAGTAAATAAAAAAGCTAGATTGCCAGTCATCAAAAAAGCTAGAAAAAGCTTCATATTTTGATTGTTATTGTACCCATAAAGAAACAAAACATTACAACTCTGCACAAGCTCTTTCCATTACGTTTCAATTGTTCGGGAAGTACTGCAATTTTTTTTTGTTTTTTTGCAGAAATTTATTTTGTCTTGAAATATTACATATTAATATACAAACAAAAAAGATTTAGACAGTTTAGCACTAGTATGCTTTCATCTTTGAGCTACCAATACTTCTTTGAAATATAAAAGAGCTATAAAAGCTATGTAAATGATGAATTAAATACTACAGACAAAAACGTAATTGCTTTTTGATTAATTCAATAATTAACACCTTTTTGTTTCATTCTTTGTAGAAAAGGCAGTTAAACTAACAAATTCGTTATAAATTCCGGCAGTCTACAAAGCCGGCGGGAAAATAGCTAAATGGGCAACACTGATCGTAAGGCCGACTTACCTTTTGATTAAACGCTGCCGCAGCTGCGGCCGCAGCCTCCTTGGCAACACCCACACCATCGGCCGAGGTGGCATGCGTGGACGGGGACGTTGCATATACGAAGAGCGGCAATGAGTTGAAGTTACGTAAAAAGCCGTCCGTGGCATTTGACGCTGTTGAATCCTTAAAGCGGCGACAGAAGAGCAATTGTTTATTGCATGCAGCGGCCGAAGCCAGCAGAGGCAGCAACGTGGGCGTTGGTGTTGCTCGCGGCGTTGTAGTTGTTGGCGTTTTTGGCAGCGGCATTGTCGCTATTTTTGTTTCTCTGTCAACTGCAGAAATTGCATGATTTTCGGCTCCTGCTTTGGGCAGCTCCTCCTCGGCTGACGGCGACGCCGACGCCATTTGCGTATCGCAATTTTCTTTTGTTGTGGTACTGGTTGTTGTTTTTGTTATTGGCATAGCTGCGCGTCGCACTATAAAACAAGGCTAATGCCTTCGTTTTGGTGGGCGTGCCCAGGCCCGTGCCTCGTTTGCTGCAAGCGTCCTTTGTGCTCGTTGTTCTTATTATTGTTGGTGTTGTTGTTGCTGTTTTTCGCTCGTTTTAGGAAGGCGGCGGCAGCGGCGATAGCAGCAGCAGCATCGTTGGCTCCCAAAAAGAACAACAAAAAAACAAAAAGAAAACAAGGTAGGAGCTGCTCAGCCAGCGGCGTTGCTGCTGCTGCTACCTGGATTCTAACACTTTTAGTCTGCCCCACTGCTCTATTTTAATTCGCACGGTTTTTATGGCGTCACGGGTACTTTATATTTCTATTCCGAACAATTTACTGGCAAGAGGATAGTTGTTTTTGCCAATCACAACGACTACTCCAACGTAGCAATTGGCAGCACTGTTCTCCTAAGAGTGGCAGTACGATTATCATGCATATGGGCACCACCGGCTTTGGAATGTGAAGACGCTCAAGTTTCATTCTAGATTTAAAAATAGTAAGCTAATATTGCTTAATTTTATAATAATAATTAAAAATTAAATACAAATTTGTATATATCTGTTTAAATTTGTGCAAGTATATTTGCCAGTCATATTATCGAAATCAAACAAACGCAGTGTTGAAAAATCCAATAAGTGGCGGCATAACTAATTTTGGGTTTTTAAACCGGCTTAACAACACAAATGCATTTCTTAAAAACCCTGGTGTCCAAAATGTATCTATCAGCTATATGGATCTGCAATATGAAATTAGCTAATATATTTTTTTATCACATCTTCTATACAATGTTTCTTCTTTGAAACCATATGTTTGCAACAGCTGGCAGTTTCATCACAACAAAGCAATTGTCACCGAATGCCCATCGGTACAGAGATGCGTTGCTGTTATCGCGGACATTTTAAAATTATAGCAAACGCTGAATTTTATGTTCGATCAAATCAACTATCCAGTTATTCGTATATAATCAGGAGTAGGTACAACTGTCTGGCATTAGAATAGGGACAGCCCAAGAGCGAGTAACACAGTAGCACATCAGAAAATAATCGAAACTCAAAACAGATCACCAAGTTCAAAATTTTACAGTAAAAACTTTTCCGGCAGCAAGCGACACGTTGTGTGATACGAAAAACTAAAACGTAAAAAACGAAATCACATTCAAACACGCGCCGCCGGTATAAAATTGGTTTTTGTTTCTTGCATTTGTGTTTGAGCACGTGCTTTTATATTACGCGTTTATTATTCTTTGGCTGTAACAAAATAACACAAATTATATTTAATTAAAATTTAGTGCTTGTGTTACCACATCGGCAAAAAGTTTTGCACAATTCAATAATTGCGACCATCTGGCCCATGTTAATGCGGATATAATAGAGCTGAGCTGCTTTTATTGTAATATAGACGTGCCTTTCTCACTTTGCAAATAGAACAGGCGTTTTTCAACACTCGTACACTCAGAAAACAACGGTCGTCTCTTTTGCACACCCACGCTACAAATTGTCGCCCCGCTTTCTGGTGTTCGTTTCGTTAGTCGTGTCGGTCGTTCCCGCTTCCACTCGCTGACTGGACCGCTTCAGCCCGCATTGGTTGAAATCGTCGCCGTAGTTGTCGTCGTCGGGTCGCCGTTCATACTCGCAAGTGCTGCAAATATATATTTCTAGCATTCGAAGAAAAGCGGAGCAGAAAATAGACAGAACACACAGAAAAGTATAAATAAAAAGCGCATCACAGCTTTTGTGTTTCGTTTAGTTTTTCAACAATTTCAAACATTTTCCCTCAGTTCTCGTGCTAATCGACAAAGAACAAAAGAAATACGCGGAGCGAATCGTCGAAGCAAGCAACTTAAACCAACCAACCACACACACACACAAGAAAATCAAATTTCAATCAGAAAATGGCGTTAAAAAGAATCAATAAGGTATGTGAAAAATTTGAAATTGTATAAAAAACGAAATTGCAACAAATGCTTTGTGCTCGAATTTACACAAATCCATAATGCCTGACTTACCGAAAAAAAAATAACGCGTTAAAAATGTGAAAAGAAATTTTGTGGACCAAAAAAAATTTATGCAAGAAATGTGAAACGTAGGGAACATGCGACAAAAGTAGAGAAAGAGCAGAAAAGCGAAACGAATACGTGAGCGAAAGAAAACGTGCAAAAAGCAAAAGAGGCAAAGGAAAAATGGGCGATGACGACGTGCATTAATTACAACAGCAGCACAAGAGAAAAAAAAAACAAGTTTAGTTTTAGCATTAAAAAAAAGCTAATGCAATTTAAGCTGCCCACAGTTAAAAGCACTCCTTACATTCACATTCCAATTAGAAGTTGTTATTGTCCTGTAATCCTTTGTCGCTTGTCTGTCCGGATCTGTTTCGTGCGGGGCAACGTGTACGCTGACGTTTCCGTTACACATGGTCATGCAGCTGCTCCTCCTTTGCTGCTCTGCTTCCTTCCCCCGCCTATGCGTGTGTTGTGTGTGCATGTGATTATGTGTGTGTGTGTAGCCGGAGCGACACCTACAACTGCAGTCGCCCGCAATTTTTGGCCAGCGGAGTCCGAGCGCTCCACACGGACGGCAACTTTTTGTGGTTACCCAATACAACAGACACACACGCACAGCTACTACATTTATACACAAGTATGGATGAGTGTGTGTGTGTGTTGGTGCTGCTGCCAGCGCCGCAGAAAGATCCAGCAAAAAAAGAAAAATATAAAGACCGAAGAAATACGTACATACATATATAAATTTAACCTAACCCTACTTTTTTGCGCTGATAATTCAGAAATAGTGTTGCCTATATATTATACACTTGTATATATGTATGAGTGCCTGTGTACTTATGTATGTATGCATGTCCAAGTAAATTTCGATAATTATTTTAAAGGGGGCACTAGCAAAAAATATATTTGGCCCACGTCGAGAATGTCCTTGTGAATATTTCCCTGGCCATTGCCGATGCCGCCCCTCCATTCAATAGAATTGTTAGTCAGCACGCAAGTACAAAGAAAATAAAGGTTAACTCGCTAGCTTAGCCATTCATTACAAATTCAAACAATTTAGCTGCAATGCAGCCAACTTTAATTTTCATGGCTTTTTTGCACCACTGTGCGCTGTCATTTACTTGCGCAGCATTTGACTCGCTCTCTCACACACACACAAACACACAGTTATCCACTACCCGTCATATGGTCTCCACTGCCGGCTTACAATTTGAAATTTTATTAAGTGTATCCCCTTAACAGTATAGTTAATACTTGGAGTTTAATCACTGTTATCGTCGAAAGTAATATAGAAATGATTGTAGGAAAAATTATTTGTAAATCGTATAAGGCCAGCACCAGCCGGTTATCATTATTAAACCTACACACACACACACTCAGCTATCAAAGTAGCGGCCATCTCGCTCGCACACCCGCATGAATCATACGCCAAAAGCAAAACCAGACTGATATTTGACTTGTGTTTCGCTCTCTCCTGCACAACATCGGACCAAATCAAGAGACAAATGGGGCAGTGCTCAGTATTGTATGGTACATATGCATGTGTGCTTGTGTTCATTATTCAGTGTTGCAAAGCGCTGTGCACAGACCTAAATTAATCAGTTGTAAATTAAAATTAACGTAATTTACATACAAAATGAATGCGGAATTTGTACATTATTGTTAATAGGCATGCGCTGTTGTTGTCTGCATATGTATGATATAGTAAATTTGTGTGAATTTACATGTATGTATATATGTGTAGATTGCTGACTGGCTTGAGCAAGCAAAAGCGACGTCGCAAGTCACGACGCGTCATGGCCATTGAATTTTTTGCCTCTTGCACGTCTATGTATGTATATACATTGTATGTATGTGTATATACTTTTTTAATTTTGTATTCATAGAGAAAATGAAAACGAAACGTCAGTGAAAATGAGGAAGCACAAAAGTGCTTGCAGTAAATGAATTGCTGGTAATTTCTTTTACATTTTATGTAACAATAACAATTAGCCACAACAACTATTACTGCTTATTTTGCCCACAGTGTGAGAGACGACCATCTCTGATCTACTCTTTTTGACTTTTTAGTAGACTTGGGTCGGTCCGAACTAGTTTCAGTGATCGGGTATTCAATACACTCTACTTAACTATTACTAACTACTTAGTAAGGTATTTCGATAGAAGAAATTAAGGATTTACACCTGAAGACACTCCCGCTATAGATCATAGACATAGAGGAGTCCACACATGGCAAACCTATTACCAATAGGGCGCAGAAGAATTTGTTTTTTCTTTCTAAAACCAAAAAAAAATTAGAACTCATGAACTAATCGAACGAACTGAATGTAGTTCCTTGAAATGGCTCAATGAGATTTCTAAACTCTACCTTTCAGTCAAGGTTTCGCTGATTACGCTATTTTCTTTCTTGTAGTTGCCTTAGGAGGTTGGTGTTTGTTGTTGCCCTCAATTGCCAAAAATGGAAACTAAAGCACAATCGCACCTAAAACAAAAAATCAACAAGTGAGCGCGTGTCGGTTGAAGTCGCGCTTTGTGTAGCTCACTTGTTATTTCATAAGCGGCGCAGAACCAAAAAAAAAAAAAAAAAAAAAAAAAAAAAAAAAACGCTGATCAAGCGCAGTTTTAATATGAATATATGTATGTACATATGCACATGTACATACGTATATATGCATACATTTATCTTTAGTTTTGTCTTGCACATTGGTCGTTAGTTTGTTTTTATTCGAATTAAGTCGCCTATCACTTGTCGTCTTTTGTACTTCAATTCAATGACTCATGCTCATGCTTGTCCATAAACCGCTGCCCCAATGAAAGTTGCTGAGCACTCCGACTTGGTTGTTTTGGCGTTGGCGGTTGGTGGCAGCAGCCGATCCGATGTTGCTACATTTTCCTTCTGATGATGTGTTAATGATTGTTGTAATTATTTTTGCTCAACAGGTACAAGAGGAAATACATGCATATGCGTGTGAGCTGTGCGAGAGCAAGCGAGATGGCAAGCGCCTGCTGCTCCTCCAAAATGTTGCCGCAAGTTCTTTTTTCGGCTCTGCCATCGTTGCCGTCGTCTGTCTGCTATTTTTGAAATATACGCCTAGGCGGGCGCTCTGTGGCCCGTCGGCATATTTTGGGGGCTGGTTGGTTGGTTTTTGCTCGCGCAAATGTTTTGTGAATTTCTTTTCTTTGTTTTTTTTCTACAACAGGCAGCTAACAACAAAAGGCATATTCGCTTGCACTGTTGGTGTTGTTGTTGTTGTGCGTTGGGGTGCTTCAAAAAAATGTTGCCGTTAAAATTATGCTTTCGTTTCCCCTCACCACTGTGAACGTTTACCCCTTAAGCATTAGACGGGGCAGGCAGCAGAGTCAACTCTCATTTTTTCTACCTTTTTGCAGCTCATCTTTTTTTACGTTTTCTTTTTTTGCCGGTTTACTTCACGTTTTGTGTGTGTGTGTGCGCGCCCCAAGCTGTGATTAAGAGACGACGTTGTCGGGGGCATCAACGCTCTACTCAGCTGTATGCGTGCCTCTTCCATGTGTTTGTGTGTATGAATGAATATATGTGTGTGTGTGTGTGTGTGTGTGTGTGCGTATGAGAGAGCCAACAGTGTATTCGGGCCAACGAACTTGATTTTTCGCGTCATTTTGCTGCCTGCCTTGCCGCATAATATATAAAATATATTTCATATATCTGTATATTTCATTTATAAGTGCGTTTTACAAATTCTGTTTTATTTTCGTACTTCCAACTTAAATGAACGCCGTCACAGCACACAAAACGTCAACAACAACTCATTCCTATAAACGTCGTGAATTGTCCCAAGCCAAAGATTCGATAAGTATAAGGATTATCTAGCCAACGAAAACATATACCAACTCCGGCGAAAATTAGGCAGGACTTTTCATGCCCTATTTGCATAGACAATTAATTTCTAGTGCACGAGTTCGACTTAGAAGCGTAGGTTATAGTCTCAATTTTTTGATGTACCGCCCAACTCGACTCATCGCTTCCAAACTCGCCATTGATTCTTAATTTGTCGCCAGCAGTTTCTATTCAAATTGTTTAAAATTTCCCCTATGCCTTCTTCAGTCACCTTGGCCCGCGTTGATCGAACCTCCTGCAAAGGGTTGTTAATAAGGCACCTTCCAATATTTCTGCACCACCTTGGTGTAGTTTTTGTTCACAAACTGGTTATTTCATTAATTTTGTCTAGACGCACAGCTAACTAAATATTCACAGTCGGGCTATGTGCAGAAGGGGTTCCCTGGGGAAGCCGGAACACACAGTACAAATGGTTAAGCTGCAAACGGCCAGAAATACTAATCGAAAAAAAATTATTTTTTTTAGAATATGTTAATCATATGACTCGAACCTAAGTTAGTTTACCTAAGCAGAAACCACGCCTCCCGGAAAATATATGTATATAAATAACATTTCACTTAAAATACATTTTCTATTAATTGATCTTACTAATTCCACTCTCTCTTCGTCTCTCTCTCTCCCTTTTCCTACAGGAACTGCAAGATCTGGGCAGAGATCCACCTGCACAATGTTCAGCTGGACCAGTTGGCGATGATTGTGAGTAGAGAATGAAAACACACTACATGCCCACGCACCTTCTTGTTGCAATTATGTAACTTGGAGATTTTGGCAGAGACGAGCGACGACGACATATACGTACATACATATGTACATCATTAACTTATGTATATACTCAGGTCTAAAAATATTGATGGCCAAATGCTAAGCAGTCCAGCTTATCTGGCAAGCAATCAACACTAACGGGGGAACGTCAGAGTGCAACAGAGAGTCGTCGAGTTTTTAATGACTAGCACTTATTTGATGGATTATTTATTCTTGCTATATTCTATGTTTAATTAGACCCAACAACTGCGAATGTTTATGCGAAACAGAAACTTGTCTTCATAAATTTTAACTAGGTGGATAGGGGCTCAGACAGTAATATGATAACTGTTCCAGATAAACACTCATGTAATTAGTCCAACCAACTACAGTTAGACCGCATCCGCTTTAACATCCACACACAAACATACATTCGCCTTAGAGAGTTGTTTCTCTTAGTGTTTATGTGAATCATATGGAGCTCGCTTCAATGACGTCATTTGAAAGTGAAATCGCTTACCTACACACATACATACATATGTACACATTAAGATACACATGTAATTGAAGTCGTGAGAATGATGAAGGTGGGCATTGTAGAGTTATAATATTCATGTGGAGACTCCAAACCCTATTCAAGCATCAACTTATTTGCATGGCAATCGATCATATATTTTATAAAGATTTTATTATGTTCTGAAAACAGTCTGCTTGTGTTAGATTTTTTGCTAGTATCACATCTGACAATCACTTCCGTTCAAACTTGTTGGCTAATTTGAAACGAAATTAATCTATTTCTTTATCAGACCTCAAAAATATAAATTAAAAGAAAGGTAGAATTGTCTGCATTGTTTGTCAGCCGATTAAAATCTGTTTTTAGTGCTCAACAATGAAAACACATTACTTAAACGATCTTGACAAAAATTTTGATTTAAGTCTAGTATTTTTAAAGCTAAATGCATTTCTTATTCGTAGACTGAACTAAAGAGAGAGGCAATTAAAAATGGCATATTTATTTACAAATCAACAAACCCTTATCGAAGGAGACATATACATGAACATTTTCGTAGTCACCTTTTTTGAATAGAAAATAATATTTCGTCATCAAATTCTCGAAAACCGCATTTTTCAGATTCAAAGATCGTTTATACAAAGGTATTTAAACTCGTTAATTAATCAAGTTGATAGAACAAACAAATAACACCTTCAAAATCTAAATATTTTAAAGAAAATATTCTGACAAATGAAAAGTTTAATCAAATTTGATGAAACAAATGTTTTATATTAATGCGATGATTTGTTGAAACCGATTGCTAAAATTGAGACTGATTGGAAATACTATATATGTAGCACACTAAAATATGCTAAACAGACCTATTTCACATGAATCATGAGTATGCTCAATGACTAATATCTTGATGAAAAATAATATGCAAAGAAATTTAAGAGCTTTTAATACTCACCAGTAATTACTGACTAAGACAATATTTGGTTTTACGATCTCAGAATTCTACGAATTTTCAGGCAGGAATATTTTGAACGTTAAAAGCTTTTTATACTCCTCAAATGTAATGTACAAGGTTATACTAATTTAGTGCGAATGTATGTATCACACAGATGGAGGCGTGGCAGACCCCACGAAGTTTATGTATTCTTCATCAGAATGAGAAGACGAGTCGCTTTTCCAAACCTTTCAAGCATTACTAAAAGGACTATGTCCTTGGAATCGTAGTTTCGTCTGCAAGTTTTAACTACCCCTTGAGTGAGATTACTTGCATTATCCCACTACAGTGAAAACTCTCTTGGCCGGACACTCATGGTCGGCCAACTTTTGTCCGCCCAAGGGGAGTGTCCGCTTAAGAAGATACAGTGAAGACTCCCTTAACGGGCACCTCTCTTATCAAGACACTCTTCGGCGGACACTTATCTAAAACATTCGATCGGTGTATAAAGTATTTAAGTAGCGGACACTCTCCTGACCTCGGGCGGACGCGGATTCCTCTACAAATTCGCTGTCTCTGCTGTTTTTGTAATGTCCGCTAAAAAGCGGATATTGTGCGTTGATTATGATGGTGGTTGCTTCCTTTTCAAGTACGAGTTGAGCTCGGAGTGCATCCGCTGTCCTGTTTATGTTTTGCACTTCTACTGATGTACATGTGCCAGAGGGAGGGATGTGGTCTTCCCTTTTAATGTCCGCGTCGCTGAATAAGCAGCATTTCGGTGCACTCATAGCTTTTACCTTGGCCTTTTCTATCCGGCCATTGCAGGCTATTTGCACATGACCCACTCCCTCCCATGTACCTATAGCAGTGCTTACTATTTACGCGCATTTTCATCTTTGCTCTTATAAATCCGGCCGTAATCGTATTCTCTTCAAAGAGTACTGAAGTACACTTCCGCTGACCATATTAAAATGCAGCTCTTATCGATACGAGAGCCGTTTAATTCTTGAATATAAAATGTACTACAATAAAACCGTCAGCTCAAGCATGTTGGTAGTGGGTGGTTATATGGGGAGGAGAGAGTAACGTGATGTCTGACTAGTATATATACTATACTCGTATCATGTGTAGTTGTAATTGTAATTAAATCAATTGTATTTTTGTATATTTTACCACGCCAGTAGAGGGCATAAAAGCGCAATTAAATCGAACAGTGCGCTGTTGGGGCTGCGCCATCATCGATACATTTGATACAAAAGAAATATTGATTATTGCCCCATGGCCATATTATTTACATTGCCTAATTTACTTTCTTTTCCTGTTATATCATTTGGTTTCTTGGTATGTCGTCTAATTATATTTTTTCCCCAGAACCACCCATTCACAAAGCTTTATACACACTTTTCACAAAATATGTTATCAGTAGGTATTATTGGCGAAAGGTGACAAGTTGGTACGGGGCAGGCAAAGGGAGGTAATTGTCATGAATCGTTTTTAGTTAAATATAGAGAGCAGTATTAACCTTAGACGTCGTACTTAGGTTCCATACCTTCAGATGTATGTATGCGTTACAATTTATTGAGGAAATATTCTTTTGCTATATCCCCTAACCAATTACATCGAATAAAGAAGTTGAAATATCAATTTTTACACATTAAGCCACATTTAACGTTGATATGTCCCTTCTAAGCCAATTGATAAAGCAACATTTTTTCCAGTAGTTGCATATAGCTCGTCTAACTATAAAATATTATTCAATCAGTTTATCGATTAAATATAATATTAGCGATGTTTTTTTCAACACCCAATCTATTTGATTTCCTAACACCTTTTACGAACAACTTTTAAAGTTTATAACAAAATTTCAATAGATTTTTACAAAAAGTGACTTCATTAATAAAAGCAAGAGATTTTGTTTAAATTAAAATAATTTCGGTAACTTTTCCTAGAACTGCCCGATGTTGATCAAATTAAATTAAACTAAAGGGAAGGTAATTATCTATTTTATTACGTTTGCAAAGTTTAGTTTATTTATGTGGCTTTTGAAGTGTTGACCGTATTCATAATATTCTGTAGGGCAGGAAGTGGAAAAAAGTCAGAAATAAATAAGTAAAAATTAATTAAAAATAGGCTTTTATTTTAAGTTTTTTTTAAAATGTAATGAACCACTTTTTTGACATTTTGCAGACTTCTATGAAAGTTTCTATAAAAAACGAATGAATTTGGAAAACAAAAAGTAAGAAGTTTGCGTCTTGTCGGGTTAAGCCTCAATGTAGAAATATGTACATATATAAATACATATGTATATGTAGATAACAGTAAAAGGTGTAGTAGATAATTGCAAACTTGCATATAGGTTTACAGTTATTAATGTCGTTCAAGGTCATTAGCTATGTGGGAGGGAGGTGTTTCACATGGCGAATCGTTATTTATTATAATTAAATGGAGTTTATTCAGGTACCGATTTCGATTTGTTCATTTACTTATGTATTCAAAATATTCCTGCTGTATATTCCATAAATTGTGTATGATGGTCAGGTGCTGCCTCATGCCTTAGACATTATTTGGACTTTTTGGCTTTGGCTTTTTCTGTTGACTGTGCTTTGATATTACTCTCTCTGTCTCTCTACCTCCCTCCCTCCCTCCCTCCCTCCCTCCCTCATGGTATAACTGTAAATAATAATGTAATGTTTTTTATTACGCCACGCTTGTTGCCGAGCTGACATGTTGAAAACTTTGGTGTGGAGTAGTTCGGTGGCCAGACCCAGTTCTCAACCGTTATGGCCAAAAGCCAAAGGTGTGCATGTGCGTGTCTATAAGTGTGTGTATGTCTGTCTGTGTGTGTGTGTGGTGACATTGACGGTAGCCAAATGCTGTCGACGCCGTTTGTCAGCTGCCATCGTCGGTTTTGCGGTTGTTTAGCCAAGAGGCTCTCACAATGAGAGAGGAGCGCTCAACAAACACACACACACACACAAAGAATGGTGTGGAGAGTGTGGCTCATGGGCTTAACGGGCGTAGTAGCCACAGCCAAAGCGACATCGACGTAAGCAAACATGGCGCAGCACACGGTGCCAAGGCTCTTTGAACGATTGTTTGTTTTTGTTCTTATTGCACAATGTTGTTGGAGCAGTGAGCAGTAAATTTGTGGAAGAGTATGAGTACGGGGGAAACGGGAATTGAAGCAGAGCGTACATACAGCCATTTGAGAGAGAGAGAGAGAGAGCGCCGCCGCTGCATTCTTGTTAATGATGCATTGGCAGTTGTTGTTGTTCTTGTTGTTGCTGCTGCCCTTATAGGGTGGAGACTAACTGACTACCCTTGGACTTCAATTGATGTGTTGAGGGGGTTAGGTGGTGTTTTGTGAGGGGGTTGCGTAAGAGGGGGGAAGGTATGGGAAAAATTCTGGGCATTGGCATTGGCTAATATAAAATGAAATTACCTCGCTCGTCTCATCACTCTGTGCAGTTACCTTTTTGCAATTTGTTTTCAATTTCTGTACTCTGAATATTAACATACTCTTCTCCCTCTCTTCTATTTGCAGTATTTCACTGGCAAGCTACAATAATGGGCCCGGTAAGACGACAACAGCACACCTGCTGCCTTGACTTGGCTTATCGTATTATAATACATATAATTTAAATAATTTTTGCTTGATTTATTAATTGCTGAAATTTTATTTGCAGTTGAAAGAAATTGTGTTATAAATATGTCGCTGGAGTTTCAGAGCAGAGCAGCAGAGCGAGAGAGGAATTGAGGAATTTCATGAGAGCGAATCAACGAACCAAATGTTTGAATCAAGTCAAAAAGATTTTATTATTGAAAATGTCATTTAAATTATAAAGAACGTTTTTATAACCTGTTCAGGCCGAACCAGAATCTCATCTTAACGCAAATACGCAAAGTAATTACTTCTAATTGCTATATATGTCAATCAGTATACTAAATGGCCCAGTTCCATTTAAATTCGGCATATTTAGTTTTGAATAGTACTTTAAAAAAATTAGATAAATCACTATATTTGTAAAAATGGTTAAATCCAGTCACATTCGCCAAAATGACGCGTTTTCAATCCTTAAACAATATAATTGGATCCGTTCATAGACTGTTAAATATTTGAATTTATGACCTGAGATTATTTTGACTTTTTATGTCTAAAACGATCAAAACTAAAATAGAAAAGCAGTTGTACATTATCAAGCATAACCACTTATCATCAGGTTATTGGGAAGTCAATTCCAAAATTTACCTATTGGTACGATTCTTACTGGCAACTGCTACTTCTATTGGCTAGTCTAAACATACTTTATAATAACAAGTTCCGTTAACAAAATACTATCTACTTGTTAAGGAAACTTAACTTATCCCCCCTTATCCCCCATTAATTCTATATATCGGATTAGTTAAACAAACAACGTTTAAATCTTTAATTCAGTCCTAAACTTTTCGTTGTTTCTTACGATGCCGTAGATAGCTGCAAATGTTCACTCTGCTCCGGATCTCTGGAACTCCAAGCCGTAGCACCAATTTATACATGTGAATTATAAGACTTTTGATATGAATTAACCAACTAATTTGTTGATATCGTTTTCTATTTCTTGCAGCCGGACAGCCCTTATCAAGGAGGTGTATTTTTCTTAACCATACATTTTCCAACAGACTATCCTTTTAAACCACCAAAAGTGGCTTTTACAACACGTATATACCATCCAAACATTAACAGCAATGGATCGATTTGTCTCGATATATTAAGATCTCAGTGGTCGCCAGCATTAACTATTTCAAAAGGTAATTGTGGCAATTATTAATAATACTTATTATATTTAATTAATTATTTTCCTGTTTTTGCAGTCTTATTATCTATTTGCTCTCTACTCTGTGATCCAAATCCGGATGACCCGCTTGTTCCAGAGATTGCCAGAATATATAAAACTGATCGGGAAAAATACAATGAGCTGGCACGAGAGTGGACTAGAAAGTATGCTATGTGATGCGTTCCAGTTTGCAGCAACAGTCCAACAACAACAACAACAATAATAACAACAAATTCAACATCAGAAACAACAGCAACAAAGATAGCAGTTTACAGCAATAGTTACAACAACAATAAAGCTAATCGAAGCTGCAGCGGCCGCAGTGCGGCTGTTCATACCAACAACAACATCAATAAGAGCAACATCTACAACAACAACAATAGAAGCAGCTGCAGCTTCGACAACAACAAGAACATCGTCTACAAAAACCACAACAGCAACAACATCAAAGATATCAAGTGCAGCGGCGGCGACGGCAACAACAACCACCATTATTGCCATATTGCCACGTTTGGAGCGGAGGGGACGATGTTAAAATCACAAGAACCACAACAGCAACAACAACTGAGCAAATGGCAGATTGGAAATAAGTTTTGACCGAACAGCATAAAGAGAAAAGAAATTAATTTAATAATAATTAATGAAAAATTATGTAAGCATAAAACATTTAAAGCTAAACACAGCTACCAACATCAGCATCAAACACAATAAATTAAATAAAAAATAATAATAAAAATTAAAAAATACAAAGAAAAACCAACCTACAAATAAAAATCAGCTGGAAGAAAATTATTATTATTATTATATTATATTTAAAGAACCGGAAAAAAATAAAAAATTATATAAATTCAATTCATATCCATTAAGCGAAAAGTAAAACCATTTGAGAGATCCCCTCCCCCCAGACCCCCTATACACCCCAGACACACACTTATTATTACATTTATAATTAAACAATGATTTCTTTTATGAATTACAACAAGAAAAATGAAAATTAACAAAAAACGAAAAGAAATGAAAGTTTGAGTTCAGTCATCGAATTTTGTTCAAAAATTGCTTGGTCTTTTGTGCAAGGTGGAATGTGGAATAAGGAATGAGGAAGGTGCGGGTGGTGTAAGCGAAAAGTCGAAGAAGGAGAAGAGTCGTAAATAAACATAAATACAATTGTATGTGTTGTGTGTACGTGTATATGATGAGATGGGCAAAGGGCTGATTCTTGTCTTGATACATCATAGGCTATATATAATTCTATATATATACTATATACATAAAATAACGAAAATAAAAACTGAAAACATTACCTAAATCATCTATATATGTATGCTATCGTTTAGTTTCAAAGCCCCCTTTTTTTCTACACCTGATTGAATTCTTTCGAATCTAAAGACTTGGGGAAATGTAGAGCTTCTCTTTGGAATCGATTTTAATTTGTAAATCATATTCAGTAGTGTTTATTTAATATATGCAAATTTATTTTATTATTTGAAAGCGTTTAAAAATGTTATTGGTTACAAATATTAATATGCGAAAGACGGCGTGCAAGATTCCATATAATAGGTATAAGGATTGATTATTATGAGTAACACATTATTTCATATTGGTCTCCAAGAAGTTGTGAAAACCATAACATCTAGGGACAACAAATTAAGGGAAGGTTATTACAAACTCCATTTTTTAACATAGTCTATACTGAACCAAATTCTCTTCTGAAGTTTCATCGCCAAATGTGTTTAACAGGCAGAAGGCGGTGTGTCAGACCCAACTTATAGGTATAAACGATAGGTCGGACGAAACTAAGCGACTTTTGAACCATAATATCCATACGCTGAGCAGGTTTATTACAAACTAATTAAACTTAAGAGCATTAGAATAACTTATTTATATCGATATCTTAACCAAATTAAACGCTACATTTTAATCGAAAATAGCGCGCTTAGGCCAAATCTGCCATAGGAACAATTGGTAAAATAAAATGGTTTTATATTAAAGGACATGGTCGCAGGCGTTTGTAATTTTAACATTCTATTTAGAAAGTAGTCGTGAAATAAAAAGTATTTGAGGTGTCGGGTGATAGCAATACCTTCCCTTTGATAAAAAAACTGTAGTAGTCCGAAATACGGAAGGAGAATCTTATCCTGAGAGTAGATCCCCCTCCGATGTATCCTGCCGTAGTACGTTGATAGCCCTACTCCTAACATGAGGGACGAGTTCCCACTCTAATCGTGTGGGAATCCTTAGTGCGTAGTTGAAGACCAGGGAATAAGTGCCTTGTCCATCTGAGATAAGTTAATAATAATAGTCTATCTAGAGGCTTAAGTAGAAACAAACGCTGATGGGCCTGAACTCTTTTGACTTAACGTGTGACTCTGCTTCTCTGGTCCAGGAGATTTGTAGGGCTGATATGGGCTATAACGATATTGTCTACAATCTGGGAAGTTAATATTAACCAGTAGATCTAATAAATGTAATATACATTCTATTAATAGCTGTAAAGTACATTTCTCCGAACTCCAATTTAGTTTGGACTTTAAATTTTCAATCTAAGGTAAGTTCTGATTAAATTTATATGTTATGTCACTTGAAAAGTAAAGATTCATCATTTTTAGATAATATGAAGCTTATAATTAACGGCTAACATAAAGATAAGTCTACTATAACATGTATGTACATATGTATGATATTTAAATTACTCCCGATATAAGAGTGGGCGAGTACCTTTGCTCCAGCCATCTCATCATCGCCTATTTCGTAGGTGTACTTTGTTATTCCAAAAATATACTCTTATCAGCACTACAAAAAACATAAGAGCGCAATCATGGTGTGCAAATAATAATAGTTTTTCAGGCATTCTTCCTCCACAAATATGCTTGAATATACAAAAAAAGAACTACATATGTTATTCTCGGCATACTTTTTAAAACACTAACGAGTAATTATCGTTCTTGAGGCTTACTTCCTTCTTGTTCCTTATTGCAAAGGGATCTCCTCAGGGCTAATATACTAGCTGCCTAGAAATAATCGGTGTTTGATCTAATCAATGTTGCTGCAAAGTTGGACTTGGATCGTACTACTATACTATACAAAGATTCTCTTTCTCTCTCTTCAGCGTATATTCTTTTAAAATAATTTTCTCATTAAAACATTCATTCATGCATATACATACATATGTAAGTATATTTTGGGTATCTTTGTTAGCTGCCCTAATGGTTGTGATTTATTTATTTACCGCTAAAATGCACTGATTGAGAAAAATTTAATTCAAATACAGTTCGTGATAAACAAATAACAGCTGCAGCGATTTGACATTTCGGGCGACTCAGCGAGGAACGCTTGGGAGAGGCAACACGCGAGTGAAATGCATGGGAAGCAAAGTGCAGAAATGTAAAAAACAAAAACTCGGTCAATGTGAAGGGTAATCGCAAACACGCGGCTACTGCACAGTGTTTCAAAATATCGGAATAAATGTTTAATATTTATAGATTTTTAGGAATGCCCTAACTATGTATGTAATTGTAGGAGCACCCAGTAATCCACAGGGACTTAATCAGTGACTGATAAATAACCGGTGGAAACTGGAAAAGTTCCTTAAAAGATTTAGCATTTCTTAGGTTATGTTGATTTCTTTGTTATATGGGGAAATACATTATCTAAAAAACAAACAGAAAACTTCGAAGAGAAGCAAAGAATGCGAACTAAGCAAGTAAACTTTCGCTGGGTTTGATTGGAAAATGTAGAAAGATAATACATTCCTTCGATGATGTGTAACATTGAATCAAATTTCAATGTAATCGTTTAAAAACAGCTTCAGCTGAGTTCTTTCTTTTCCAGAACTACAAATACATGATTTGCTGATTTTTAATTAAATAGAGAACCAGTTATTAAAAGTATTTTGACTCTTAAATTCACTCGCATCGTATATTAAAAGCTGATTATTTATGATGTCAAAACATTTGCAAAATATTCATTCATTCAGAATTATCAATCGACAACATCAACTGCAAACCAAAAGAACGGCAAGAAGGTGTTTCATCACTGAAAAAAATAATATTAAATAATAGAAAATGTATTTAAAAAACAATAAAAAAACATAAATAAACAAGATTATTGAACTCCAAAACAGTTTGGGGATCAGAACCCAAAATGAATCATAGTATGGATAGATCTCGTTTTTAACTATAGCTAATTTTTCAATTTATTTTAAAACGAAATGCTTGTCATTTGTTTTCAGTGCAGCTTTTAGCAAAAGCGACACTCTCTATTTAGCGGCAGTAGAAATAGTAAAATATTCTCAAATATATGGATAAAGTTTGTCTGAACCAAGCAAGAGCAATACGGCCTTGTCCTGCAAATGGTTTGGCGACACCAGCGCCAGCATTTTAAATTAACATTTAATCAATTGTGTGAGAGTCTTAATTAATGATAAAATGTAAAAGAAACGTGCGAACGCTGACGCAGCACCCGCGGGCAGAGCAGAGTGCCAAAAGTTTCGTGGAAGCTTTCTGACACTGCCACATGGTTTGGATGCACGATCATAACGGTGCTTGTGGAACAACGTGTGGCGCTCTCCGCCTCGACTCGATACTATTGCTCGCTCTCTTGCTTTCTCTCTCTTTCCCAAGCTAGCCATAGACGTGTTCGTTGCTGGCATTGCAGTTTGACTTTTAACGGCGCGCCGTGCGGGTAAAATATTCGGGTCGGCGACAATTGGATTGATTTGGAAAATAGAACCGAAAGTAATTCAAAAGCTATTTTAAAAAATATATTCAGAGTGATGGGACAGAGTTCTTCTATTTTGTTTTTGTCAAACATACCGATTAAATGAAACTTTAATTGGTTGCCTTTGTTCAATTATTGCCTGGGCTTTGCTTTGCTGAGTTGTGTAGAAAAGTGTAGAAATTTGATTATGCAAACAAATTCTCTTTTCTTTGTTGTCTGCTTTCCTCACGTAAGAGCGGCGGACAGGTGCAACTATTGAGAGTCCTAATTGTGGGCCTTTAGCAGGAAATATTAAAGTTGTCGCTGAAGAGTGGAATGCTTTTTTTAATATATTCATAGAAATACTCAATATGGTGTACACGCTATCAGACACATAAGGAAAATGGCAGTCAGTTCCGCATTTGTAATGACGTTCTTTATTGCATTTATTATTAATTGGAGTGCATTTTAGCTGATAAGTGAGGAGGCTGTGAACTGGTTTGTGATTTGATTGATACGGCCTTAGACGTATGTAGTTACAAAAGAAATATGACAGTAATAAAAAATGTTGCCTGAAAACTTATACTTAGCACTTATAGTTTCATTCCAAAAGAAGCCGTTACTACATTATCTCAAAAAGTAACTAACAGTCTTTGAGTCTTAACATGCTATAAAGAAATTCTTGTCAATACCTAGCAATTGACAATGTGTAGAACTCTCTGGCCGAAGTTGCCAGCAAACATTTCTATTGGAAAGCCTAGCTCGGTTTTCACACTATTCTGCGAATAACACAGAGCTACAGCCCCGAGCTAACAAGCAAAGCCTGTCCATTGTAATTTGAACTTTAAGCTAAATATTTGTCCAGTTTTATTCACAAGCGGCAAATTATACATACTATACTGGAATTGCTGTCCAGTTGCTAATTGACTTTTTGTCAGGTTTACAGCGCACGTGCGAAATGAGTCCACACGAGAGTCTCGTTGCGGCACAGATCTTGGCCGATTGTGAGATCAGCAGCGAGTTAAAGTCTAATTGTTATAATCGCAAGACGACTACTAAGGATGCTGCCGATAGTGGCTGGGTAAGTGCGACAACCTTTGCTGATAACGGGAACTTAGCGATAATACTTATGTACATATAAAGACAACTTGCGAGACAAACTGGGGCCACAGTTCAAATGTAGCATAAAACAACTCCTAAATCACTGAAGGAATTTGAAAACAATTTTATTTCAAAATACATAATGGGAATTTGTTCCGTCGGAACAAACATATAGATAGTGGCTAAAGAAATGTTCACGAAAACTTTGTGCTATTTAAGAAGACATAGAATTTCGAAAAATAATAATCTTATGTCATAAACATCAAGTACGAGGCATATATAGAGGTTTAAATAAAACAAGTAAAAAAGCTAAAGTCGGGTGTCCCGACTTTGAAATACTCTGTACATATGTTTACAATAATTATAGAAAATAAAAAAAATTAAGAAAATAAAAAAAAAAATTTGATCGATTTTACCTCTCTCGGTATTCGAACTCACGTAAAGGGTGTATAATTGCACATTTACATAGCAATTGCGTCTGTGTGTGTTTATGTATGCCTATGCGCATCAATTCGTGTCTGTGTAAGCATTTTCGCAGTCAACCAAACAGCAACATCAACAACAGCCGCGGGCAGCGCTTGAGCAGCGCTGCAGCAGCGCTGCATCAGCAAATATATTTATGGCTATAACTTCTTGTTAAATCGGTCTATCATAATGAAATTTGGCATACGGACACATAATAACTAACTGGGGGTATTTCCAAAATTTTAGTTCGAAATTCCAAGAATTACGGGAGTTACGATTTGCGGGGTAGAGGGGGGAGGGAGGGGAATTCCAAAATATACATTTTCTGCGTATTCACATAAGGCATCTGGGACTAAAATTTGGTGTTCCTAGGTCTTATAGTCTCCGAGATATAGGCGATTATACGAATGGAAAATCGGGAAAACCCCCATAGGGGGGAAGTGGGGGGGAAAATCAAAAAAATAAAACAAACTCGTATAGAATACACACATAACGCATCTTCGTGCAAAATTTGGTGTCTCTATCTCTTATAGTCTCTGAGATCCAGGTGTTCATACGGACAGACAGACGGACAGACGGACAGACAGACAGACAGGGCTAGATCGACTCGTCTCGTCATGCTGATCAAGAATATATATACTTTGTGGGGTCTGCCACGCCTCCTTCTGCCTGTTACATTTTTCAGCTCCCGCAAACCTAATATACTCTTGTACATTTCATGTACAGAGTATAAAAAATGTTAAATAAACAGCATACTTATCACAACATTTTTAGCATTTTACAAAATTTGATTGGTAAATAAATAAACTAGGAATCATATGAAACTATATATTAAGATAGGTTTTACTCGGACCGAAAGTTTTGATCATTTGAGTTTTATTTTTGTTCAGATCGGCGTCATGTATAGAGGGTGGTGAAATGCGAGCGTTGTGAGGAAAGACGACAACAGAGCTGTTTTTTTTTTCACCCTTTCAGCTATTGAACATTGATTTTACAGCAGCTAGTAAATGATGTAAAATAACATCAGTTGGAAATCGGTGGAACTATTTATATATTAAGTATTTTCCTAAAACACTTTGATTTGTCTTTATATTTTTCACATAACTGTACATAAATTTCGGTATTTTATGGACGACTTACAGATAACACACATAAAAAACGTATATTTATGTACACGCAATATATGCATGTAACTATGTAAGTAGGAAGCATAGGAAAAAATTTCCATAAAGCAAATGCGATGCGATGGCAAAACGCAATGCGAAATAGACCCGCTTATAAAATGGCCAATTATGCGTCTGTCTCTGTATTAAGTATTTTGCCACTTTCGGTTTGGCTCTGTGTGTGTCGAATGGAGCCAAGGTCAAGACGTCGCGACGTCTCTAGTTTGGGAGCAGCGACGCATATACACATGCACATACATACATACATATGTTGCCACACACTCTGAGATGTCGAGCTTGTGGGCCAATGAACGAATGCGAAACGTACGCATGCGCAGGGCAAATAATGAGCGAAGGGCATTTCGAAAGTCAGCTTTGGAATTCCTGAAGTTCAATGAAACTGGTTAGGAGATTGTTTTTTTTTAGCCGTGCATCCGTATTTTTAAATCAATATGAACTTTGTTTATCGACACGAAACAAACGCAAGCAAAAATAAATACTTTAATTATTTTACGACTTGTTCTCTTCGTTAACATTATGTTTGCAAATGTTATATAAGAGAGGCACTTTTGTATAGAAAATTGGCCACAGCAGGCGGGGCGACACACTTTGCTCAGCACAAATGAAAGTTTTGCACCCCGTCGCACAGTGGGTCAGTGAAGTCAAGTTTCTGAACCGCAATTCAAATGATTTGTTCAATTTATTCAATTTAAACACAGAAAACAAGTAAGGAATTAACATTCTTAAATGGAATTATTTAAACGATTTTTTTTCTGTTTGAATATCATTTAAAAGAAACGCAATTTTGATGGAAATCTTACAGGTAAAATACAATGTTGTTCACACTAATTAAAATTAGCTTTATGCAGTATAGAAATTGTAAAGATGCAGTGGGCGGAATTTGTAAGAACTTATGTAAAAAACAAGAGAGAACGCTACAGTCGAGCAAGCCCGACAGTGTAATACCCTGTACCCAGGTAAACTTCCGTCACTGAGTTATATGCGCCCATAGCAGCAGCAAAAAGAGGAAGAAGAAGAGCGAACTTGTTGCTGCAGTTTGAGGGGGTTGTACTGGCGAGAATTTGTTTCGCTAATAACTTTTCTTAGACCGAATTGAATAAAATTTTATACAACAATAGACAATTATATATAAATTATGTGTGCAAAGTTTGGTTAATGTAGCATTTGAAATGTGGACGCTATTGACGAAATTCTGTAGCGGGGGAAGGGGGGGAAAATTCCAAAAAATAAAATAAACTCGTCCTTACTCGGACCTAGGAGAATCTGGATGCCAACTTTGGTTATTCTAGCTTTTATAGTTTCTGAGATCCTCGCGTTCATCCAGACGGACAGACGGACGGACAGACGGACGGACAGACGGACAGACGGACGGACATGTCTAGATCGATTTCTCTCGTCATGCTGATCAAGAATATATATACTTTATGGGGTCGGAGATGCTTCCTTCTTCCTTCTGTATGTTACATACTTTGCACAAACCTAATATACCCTTTTTACCCTACGGGTACAGGGTATAAAAAAGAGAATAATCAATTCAAAAGTCGCATTTAGGCGAGCACTTTCGCAGACATAATTGTCACCATTTGTATGTAGAATTTTATACATTTTATATGCATTTGTATTGTTTTTTTTTTTTTTTTTTTTTTTTAAATTGAACAATTAAGTTTGAGAATTGTGGTCCACTGTTCATTCGCATAAATTTCGCATAACTAACTGTTGGGGCTTCGCCTCAAGCCGGGCATAACTATCTCTCTTCGTTTCTCTCTCCCACATACTTTATGGATTTTGCAATCGAGCGCTTATCGTTTCGTGAGTGCGAGAGCGGCAAAGAGATTGTCCACACATAAGCTTTTTTGAAAAGCTTTTTAGTGCACCTGCCAATGTTCGATCTTGTCGCCCAAAAAGCAGAAAGTTCAGTTTCGAGCAAGTTTGCAGTCGAAACGGTCGGTAAAATTCCATGCGCTGGACAATAAATTTAAAATTGCAACAGAAATTTCCTCTACGTGCTCGCTCTGAAGTTTAAAAATTGATACTAAATACAAAGTCGAATATGTGTGCCATAAGTGTTGAATGAAAAGGACAATTCAAAGAAATACTTACTAGACAAAATAAACTTATAGGCCTCTTGTGCAATTTAAGTGTAAAAAAATAAACCTTGTTGTGCGTTAAATTTAAATTTTTGAAAATGGAGACCACCGTTATTACTACTTTTACAACCACAACCACAGAACTACGACGATTGCCGCGCAAAAATAAACAAAAGGATGTAAGAATGAGTTAAATAAATACTTTATGATTTCAAAGTTAACTTTTCAAATATCCTACAAAATATAAAGATGTTTAAGTACGTAATTATAATTATAAACGATTTTGATAAAATACGCTTTACACATAGTATTTTCTTCAAATTTAATATTTTTCTAATTTATTTAATTAAAAATTTAAATTAATCTAGTAAGTTTATTTAGTTTTCTTAAATTTACCGAAATATGAACCTGTTTAGCATCCGTTTTCAACTTTCCGTTCCCCATGTGAGATAAATATCTTTAAAAATAAATGTCTTTTTTTTACGAAAGCTGTGTAAAATGTTATGTTTTTAGTTCCGTGTTACGTTTAAAGTAATTCACAAACTTTTCTACTTAAGTTCAACAGAGAATACCTTTTATCAGAGACTCTTTTGCTGACTAATCAAGGCTTGATTCAAGGGCATGACCTAATTCCACTTATTTTCACAGAATTAAAACCGACCTTAAGTGAATCAAAATGATGAAATCAAATATGTACTGTACTTACAAAAACGCATCGCTCACTTAAATTGTAAATTTATTTACTTTCACAATCCACTATCGACGTCACGCTGACGTTAACTAAAATATACAAATGCTTTGCATAATAAAATAAATACAAAAAAGCGTTTAAAAGCTAATATTTAATAATGCACTTTAGCACTCTCATGTTGACCCGGAAAGCGGCAATGCCGACGTGCATCCAAAAGCGTTTCTAGGTGGGAAGTTGTTCAGCTTTAAAATCTTTCTTCGGGTTAAAGGACATCCACGGCTATAAGCGCTTTGATCTTAACATTCTATTTGATCATGCCATTAGCACAAAAGTTGGTTTTTGTTTTAAATTCGTGCCAAAATAACAAACAATAGTTTCTCTAAAATAAGTACCAATATAGCAAGTCTGTCTGTATGATCCCCTGTGGCTTGCGATAGCTGACTTCGAAAGGCTTTAAAATTGACAAGCAAACTCTACTTATCTATTTGCAGACCAAGCTTATAATAAAGCTGCTATGTTTTATTTATCAATCATAGAAACACACAAAAATTTGCTCAAATATAGAAATCGTAAGAAAGAAACGTGAATGATTTCCTAGGTGCAAGAAATGTGTTTATAAAATATTGAATAACATATTTTCTTTTTATACAAAGCACATACATATTTCTCTCTGAATAGAAATGCATTTTCAATTCTCTTACACCCTCAAAGGTCTTTTTTTTTTACAAATATAAAGAATCAGCGTACAAATTTCTAAAAAAAAAACCTTTATTTCTAAGTACTGAAGAGTTTTTTGAGACAGACATTTTCTTCATATAATTGAAGATAATAATATAATTCTAGTGAAATCCTATTTCCTATAATTTCTTTAAGTTTGATAGCTTGACTGTATTGGGAATGGAATTGAATTGAAAAGTGCTTCCAGGAAAACGGCTTTTCCGTAGATCATATGCTGAAAGGCCTTTTTAACATATTTAATGGAGGTGGCTGGTGTCATTCAATTCTTATTAGTTTCATTACACAAATTTCTAAGTTCAAGCTCCAACGTTTGTATTAATATTCTGAACTTTTCATCCGATGCAATGCGAACTTCAAATTTCAATCCGAACTTCTCTGATAAAATACAAAATAAAAGCTGCATATCCCATTTTTTTTTAAATGTATCTTTGGGCTTGTGAAAAGTTTGTCAAATTTGAACTCTAAAAGAGGTAAAACGGGCTCCAAAGATTGCTTAAAAAGTATGCGTTTTTCATTCAATTAGCTTTATGCTTTACTTACTTTATTTTATACTTACGGAAAGATTACAAAATAAACTGAATTTTTTCTTGGTGTCTAAACTTTTTGTCACTTTTAATACCCTATAAAAAAAGACTAATAGGGTATACTATTATTGTAGAATGCAAAACCCTTTTCTTATTCACTTTCCACCTACATGATGTGTATTTATAATAGAGTATACTTATCAGATCGGACGGCGCAACATTTTGCATTTTATGGGCTTGCCTCAAATTTGGTTACAGTAAATTGTAAGAGCTTTCTATAGCACGAGTGCTCGACGTTTTTGCGTATATATCTATCGTTTCTATCGGTATCTAGTTTCGAATAAAAATGCTAAAGAAAAACATTTGCACTGACTGCATTGTAAACAAACGTCATCGAGATTTAAGTGCATTTTCACACACACACTCCTATACATACATACATACATATACATACAAGTATGTCGCCCCCCACGCGCATAAGTTCTTCGTAGTATTTGTTGTTGTTGTTATTGTTTTTGCACTTGCAATTTTTATGCATTAAAGCGGCAGATAAACAAATTATAGTCAAGCCCCCTTATTAGTGTTGTTGTTGTTATTATTATTATTGTTGCTTACAGTTTATTGTGTTTGTGTTGGTTTTTGTTTTGTTTTTCATTTGAAGCTCAGCCGCATAGTTTATTGTTATTTTGCGCAATTCGGAATAATTACGAGTATTATGCCACACTTAAGCCCTATCTATTGTTTGTAGTTCGTTGTTTTTGTTTACGTTTTGCATTTTACAAAATTAAATACAACAACAACAACAATAAAAAGCAGACAGCGAATTGGCTGCATTTTATAATAAAAGCGCGAAATAAATCAATTATACTTTGCAGTTTTCGTGTCTAAATATAAACAATTCGTTTATGCCAACGTGCAGTTGGCTATGAACAACAACAAGAACAACAACAAAAACAGCGACAGCAACTAAAATAACAAAAACTATATTTTGAAGAAGCCGGAACTGCTAGCAGCCGGCAGCTGCGCTCTTTGATTGACCTTTATGCAAATATGCTTTGAACTAAGCAGCACTTTTTGAAACAGTTATTTGAGCATTCTTTGTTGCTTCTTCCTCTACAGCACGATGGCCAACAAGTGGCGAAAGCATCAGTCTCCAACACCAATGCAAGCGCAGCCTCGGACGCGGCACACCAATTTCCGGCCAATGAAGAACCCAATATTCTCGGCCACGGCCCCAACTATGATGGCGACAAGCTCTCCAAACTGAAATGGCTCTGCAACTACGATGATGTAAGTACAAGCGATTGGGAGGGAATACATACATATACAGTGAAAACTCCCCTAATGGACACCTCTTTTATCTCGGAGACCTTTTTTAAAACATTCGATCGGTATATAAAGTATTGAAGTATCCCCTTAAGCGGACACTCCCCTTGGGCAGACATGTCCGGCCAAAAGAGTTTTCACTGTATATAATATATAAAGTATGGGATCAGTGGATCGTCCAGCAAAAATTTGGCAAATTTTAAACCATGTCCCAGAATGAACTTTCAAAGAAATCGATAGGTCTTTCAATAAACAATAATATTACATCAAACACATTTAAAATAAATTATTTTGAAACATTTTTGAATCAAATAAAATTAATTGAATAAAGAATAACTAATTAAATTAAATTATTAAAGAGAACACAAAAGGTGTAGTCCAAAAATTCTTACAACAGATAATACTATAAATGTTTATAAGCATAACAAATAAATTATTTCCAAAGCTGTGAAGTGTGTGTTTTTAAATAATTTTACATTTTGTGTGAAGGTAGTTGAGTTGTTTGATAAATTATAACTTATCGATATATAGAGTTGCTATTACAATACAAATGCGTTCTATACTACGTTCAATAAAAATATTTATAATTACAATATATAAAATCGATGGAACAAATAAACATTTAATATTTAAAGAATAAATAAAAATATGAATAGGCATAACAAATAAGATATTATTAAAGGAGTGGTATTATCGTTGAGTGGTTTTAAACAGTCTTATAAAATATTTAAATATTAAAAATAACATATTCATATACCCAGTACCTTATTGATTAATTTCCCTTAAAGTAAATTAATAAGTTGACATTTTATTGAAAATAAAAAAAAAGTAAATTTAATGCCCGCGATAGCAGATAGGTTTTTAAAAAGAAAGAGCAAGTTTGGCTTGCGCCGGAGCAAAAATATCAGAATAGTTGAAACATAAAACCAGCAAAGGACTGTGCAATATACATATAATTTAACTAAGATATTAAGACAACCTTAAAGGGCAAAAAAACTACTCCCTCGACCAAGGGCGTAGGCAGGGGGCCGTTGCCCCCCTCCCCCTTACAAAAAATTTTTCCATATAAAGTCGGCACTATTTCGCCTTAAAATGGATCTGAATTGGATTTGTTGAAGTTTTTTCATTGATCATATGCATAAGTTATTTTTTATATACATCGTGCATTATTTAATCAAAATTTTAATTTTTTGGCCCTCCCCCCATTGGTAAAAGCTGCCTACGCCCTTGCCCTCGACAATCAATTTGTGGGGAAACACACATACTAAGAACTGACCTACGATTAGCCAGAGAAGGGAGATTAATAAACAAAAGACTATTAGAGTCGAAGGTTCGGATTCCAGTTGAATCCACAAAGAGCACAAACAAGCAATGAATTTTTTGAATTTTCAAAAAATTTACCTGAAAAATAGAAAAAGTTTCTATGTCTTTAAACTGCGGTTTTTCTGAATGAAGACTTAATATTGATTGATGTATTGTTTTTTTGAACTATTTGCAGAACATCAATTTTTGATGCTCAGCAACTAAATGATGGGTAACTTATTTTTTAGTGCTTTTTTTTTAAACAAATACAATATTTTACAATTGCATGTGTGCTTTTTATTTTTTATTGCTTTGATGGTTTATTTTTTTTTGTGAATTTAAGAGCAATTGTCAAATTGCCCGCCCAGTCTTGTTGGCTTTAAGGTTAACAAGTTCTTCAAATGTTTCGGGTTAACTATTTACCGACCCGCCTGTTTCGTGTGTGGGGTGGGGAGGGGTTGGGGAGAGGCTGTACCCATAGAGCGCCAATTAATTTTGGCGCATTGACAAACTGCGCAAATAGTTGCGAGGGACCGTGGCATAAAAAGGCCGAAAGCCGAAGCCATTGACATTCAATTACATTTGAAACGCGGTTTATCGTTATTGTTAAGACTCTATTAACGCATTTGTGTTGTAATAGCAGCGAACGCCGAAATATGCAAACAGAAAACTGAATCAAGGCCAAAATTATGGCACAAAGAAGCTACTGCCACTGTATCTACTCGTATATACAGTAGATATACTCGTATACTAGTCGATGTACATACATACATAGATGTATGTATGTTTGTGAATGGTTTCGAGTGTTTGATTTGCTGCTCTGCACCGCCGATTTGATTTTGCAATTGAAGCTCTAGGCATTTTAATTTGGCAGACGTCCAAAAGTTAAAGGTTTCAATGCCAAAATGCAATTTGCATTTGTCGACGAAAAGACAAAAGACAATGCGATTGATTGTTTAACCAGGCCCAGTCTAGAACATTGAATTGCACTTCTTTTCTTTTTTAATTGAACTTTTTTTCTTTGGTTTTGGTCAATCCAACAGGCACCCGATCATCTAAAGTTCAATCCGTACATACGTCGGGGCTATCGCACATTCCTGAGCAACAAGCTGTGTCTGCAGAGCATTTTTTGGTGGACCAACGAAACGGTAGGCACTTCACAGGAGCTGCTCTATAAATTAACAAATCAATAATTTGTTACCATTATCCCATCTGCAGATCAACATTTGGAGTCATCTGGCTGGCTGTATTCTTTTTGTTGGCCTCACCATTTTCGATTTTCAGTTTCTGCGCACGCACGCGGAGCTCAGCGATCAAGTCCTGGTGGTCCTGCTACTCGTCTGCTTCTGCCTCTGCATGCTGATGTCGGCCATATATCACATATTCTCCTGCCGTTCCGAGGAGCACTACGAACTGTTCTTGTCTGTGGACTTTCTGGGCATTTCCCTCTCGCTCGTGGCCATCTATATAAGCGGCATGTACTACGCCTTTTGGTGCTTCCCGGTGAGTCGCATAGAGAGTTGAAGAAGAAGAAATTAGAATATGAACATCAACGTCCTAAAATAAAGTCCAAATAATTTTAGGGAAATTGGTAAATAAAATCTTTTTCTTTTTTTGATTTTAAAAGAATTAAATAATTATTTGCATCTCCGTTTTAAAACCTTGGGTTTTCTGGAAAAACAGTTCCATATGCAATCAGATAATGGAATTATATCGAAGGACCGGCAATGCTACCGAGTGTTGCAGATCAGTTGGGGAGGAGCGGTTTAAAATTCAATATTAATTTCTTGAAATTTATGAGAATTCAATCAGATGGCGAGCTTTTTTCCTTTTGAGGGACGCCTGAAATTTAACTTTACACCCTCTTTAAACTCTCTCTGAAATGTTTTGTTTAGGGGGTATTCTCTTCTCTTCCCATGATGATAATACACCTAATTCTGTTTTTACACGGTAGATTGGTTCCAGAAACAACCGTGTAAAAAAAGACATGCAAAAAGAGGTGATTGGTTTCTTATCTCTAAAGAAATATATTTGCAATTTGTAGTTTTCAAACCGTGTTATATAAAAATCTTGTGAAAAAGACCGTGTAAAAACAGAATTAGGTGTATTATCTGTTCATCTTCTTAGTACCGATTTTTTAATAGATCTACATAAGTTTGATCCATTTTTTTTTCTTGTAATATGTGAGATCATACAATACTTAGGAATGCTATGTTCTAATCAGAAATGTTCAATTCCATCTTCATCTTCCCATAATCCAAGTCTTACAAGTACTCATTAACCTAATGTTTTTCTCCTTCTCATTTCTAGTTTTTTATAATCCTGTACTCTGACCCAAGTCTTTCTCATTAACTAATTTGTTTCTCTTTCCCATTTCTAGTTCCTGAGAACTCTGTACTCCATAATTGCTCTGGGAATGTTCGCATTGGCCATTGCGGTGCAAATACCGAAGCTGAATGTTTCTATGAACGCCAAGGTGGCCGTATTGCTGTTATGGTCAGCCTATGGTGTAATTCCGTTAGGCCATTGGACTATCGCCATGGGTGGTCTGGAGAACGAGCTCGTACGGGTAGGTGGACACCTATTTCTTCTTAGCCCCAATTATTAACTGTCTCTAATGGGTCTTACAGCTGATGGTGCCTCGCATTGTCGGCATGTATCTGCTCTGTCTGGTAGCGTTTGTCTTCTATGCGGCAAAGATTCCCGAGCGCTGGTTCACCGGCAAGGTGGACTTTGTGGGTCACTCCCACAACTGGTGGCATCTGATCATTGTGGCCGCCTTCTATCACTGGCACAACACGGGCCTCGTCTACGCCGAGTATCGACTGAATAATGGCTGCAGTGCAGCGCCTGTCTACGCTTGAGTTCTGCTTGAGGCCCGCAAATTCCGACCTGGCCTAGTGTAAATAGTTTAGGCAATCTCGCAAATATTAACTAATATTTAGTTGTAAATGTTGATAAACGATATTATTAATTTATGTATATATCTAAATAATGATTAATTTGTGTACGTCTAGTTAGGGGTTTGTTGCTAACTTAGTGAGCGAATTGAGCAGGTTTTTTTTTCCAAAGTCAGGGAAGGAAGATTGCAGAATAAAGTACACAACAACTGCAAATATTTCAAGTACAAAGTGACGAGCTGTAATCAATTTATTGAAAATAAAAATAAATCCACAAGAAAAAGAAGTTTCCATTTATTGGTATTTACAAAAGCTCTTCAATTGCCAACTTTGGAATTTACTGGCTGAATGTGAAAAAGTTCTACAGCATGTGACGTATACAGGGTGCGTCATCTTTTATGTCGGTATGTAAACATTGAATATCTTTGAAAATAAACAACCTATTTTCAAGTACGAGATATTTTTATTTAATTTGGTTCTGCACAATTTCTTGAACTGAGGTTTTCAACACTGGTCTACTCAAGTCAATCGGTTCACTAATGACAAAGTTATTCAATATTTACATACCGACATAAAAGATGGCGCACCCTGTACATTTGTTTATACATCTGACGTATGAACCTTTGAACATGTAGACATGTCTTTGTTGCATTTGAAATGCACACATCCGACATATGAACAACTAACGTTTATACGTCTGACGTTTTTACATCTGACTTTTTTACAATTCACGTTTTACAATATTATTCGGACAACTACTCAAACATATGCCATTTATTTCATTTATTTATTTAAACTGCTGTTTAACATCTGACAAGTACGTAAATATCTGAAGTTAATAGAAAATATCAAACGTGTAACGGAATTATCTCGATGGACGCTCGAAATTTAGGCATTGAACTTTACAAGAAAACCCTCTTAGGGTGTATACTGTTTTTCCCCCCATAATGATATTATTATATGTTCATCTACTTAGCACCGATTTTTTAATAAACCTACATAAGTCCTACCCATTTTTTAGAAGAATCTATGCGAATTTTAATAATAAACGAGCTGTCTATATATACATCTGACGTTTTTAAAACTGATGTTTAACATCTGATGAGTACGTAAATATCTGACTTTAATATGACATGTACACACCTGATGTCTACAGATCTGACGGGCGACCACTGAACAATTTTTTGTCAAGAACAGAAAATGTTCATTTAAATACCTTAAATGCCTTCCTACTGGTAACTTATAAGGTGAAAACATATGGGTAGGTTATGCACACACAAAATAAATACAATTGGAAACATTATATTGAGCCGGGTTAAGACGGGCAATACCTGTTAGTATTTATATAAATTAAAAACAAAATGTTAATCGATTCTACCTCCCTCGGTAGGCTCACGTAAAGGGTGTATAATTGCACATTTACAAAGCACTTGCGTGTCTATTCGTATCTGTGTGAGAACAATATTGAAGCAAAACAGCAGCAACAACAACAACAGCTGTGGGCAGCAATTATATTTATACGTTCCTGTTTAATCGGCCTATCCTAATGAAACTTGGCAGAATCACTAATTGAAGGTTCTTGCCAAATTTGAGTTCGAGATTCCGAGAATTACGGGGGTTATGGAAAATAACTTATTGCGGTGGAGCGTGGAGGGACGGAAATTCCAAAATACACATTTTCTGCGTATTCATATAAGGTATCTTGGAATAAAATTTGGTATCCCTAGGTCTTATAGTCTCTGATATATAGGTGATTATACGAACGAAGTTTCCAAAAATTCCTCATAGGGGGAAAATCAAAAAATAAAACAAACTCGTATAGCGAACACACATAAGGCACCTTTGTGCAACATCTGGTTTCTCTATCCCTTAAAGTCTCTGAGATCTAGGGGATCATACGGACGGACCGTCGCGACGGTCTGCCATGCCTCCTTCTGCTTGTTACATTTTTTAGCTCATATACTCTCGTACATTTCATGTACAGAGTACAAAAACTGGAGCGTAGACACCCATCATAAAACCACCACACGCTATTTTTGAATTGGACAGCGAGGGAATGCCGTGCCTTAACTGTAACTGTCCTATAAAATACATCGGACAGCACTAAAGATCGCAATGCCAACACTCGTGCTGTGCCACAGAGGTTATTGTAACGCAATGGCATGCCTGGTAAATACAAGTAGGTAATTGTAGGCATCCAAGATGTTCTTTTAAACTCTGCCAAAATCAATAGGTTCCAAAGTGTTTTCATTTGTATGGACTATTTGGTAAGCTTTATTCTAGGGCTGCTAATCTAGGAATTATTCGCGCTCATATCTTGTGAAATGTGTGCGTTCATAGGTCTTAATAGCAGCCTGTGGCTTGTTAGAAGGGATAGTTGGATTGGCAGGATTCATTTCAATCTGACGGTTGTTTTGTGTTGGTTGAAGTCGCTGTTTATGGGAGCTGAGGCTGTCGAGCTCTAGTTAGAGTCGCTGCTGGTGGAACTTGTGCAAGACGAGTCTGAGGAGCAGTTTGAAGTGGGAGATAAAGGTGATTCTAGAGCCAGTAGAATCCATTCGGGTTGCGGAGAACTCGAACGTGTCTGCAATCCTTCCACCGGACGACGTATCGGAACAACTTCATTTCCTAATATGGCACGACGTTGAATGCCGCCTGCTCCAATAGGTCTAGTGCGCCGAATATAGCGGGATCGATCGCGTCGACCGACGGTGTCGTTGGAGACTATCGTGATGTTAACATTCAAGTTGACAGAAATGTGGCCGTCTCCGCGACCACCACGGCTAATGCTTCCATCTTCGACGTAACTAATACGGCGATTGTATGGATTCTGGTAGTTACGGGTGCGACTGCCACGAGAGCTACGACTGCGGCTACGACTTTGGCTCGAGCTGGAGTTATCGCTTCGCAAGCCACTACGAAGAGCGATCCTTTGGCTGCGCCTGGGTAAGCCGGCGCGTTCGAAGCCACTTTTTGGCGACCACTCTTTCATGATGGGTAGACTGCTTAAGCTATTCTGCTAAGATATAGATGTATCGTTGCTCGGAAAATGTCGCTTCGTAGCTTCTGAACAGGTACGTTGTTATCTGCAAGAATGGGGTCAATAGAATTATGTTAATATCAAAGCTAGGGCAAAAAAAAACATACGGTTATTAGTCTAAAGGATTTATAGATCAAAGCACGTCTAGTTTTCTGGCACTAGATGTTATCTTCATTGCACTTAAGAGCACATTTAATATTAACACAATTATAACCAAACATTTTAGCTTTTAAAATGGCCGTTCTCTCGCTACAAAAAAGCTGACATTTCCCCATCACTAATAAAAATGTAGGCTTATGAAAATATTTCCGTTGTTGTTGTTGGCAGTGGCTGTACTTAAATCTTACGCAAAATTTTGTGAACTCTCCTTAAATACATACATACATATGTATGTATGTACATATGATTCGATAAATATTTCACAATATTTCAACCGCAAGTAACGCTACATTTCGCGCTAATCTGATTCAAAATTGTCACGTGACAGCAAATATGGATGAAAAGTTATATTTTCTTTACTTACCAATCTGTTTGGTTTGATTTTGCCGCAGTAAGTTTACTTTATGGGGATTATATATGTATTTCTCAAATTTATCAGGCGGACTATTTGATGGTCTACAGGCAGAGAGCACCTGAAAGGAAATGTCGCCAGTCGGCATATGTAATTCTGATGATGGCCCTTCGCTGATTGTTTAAGTAATCGAATCATATCTAGTTAAAGGACTACCCACACGTTCGATTTTAGACATGAAATCAAAATATTCAGGATGCGAAGTAACATCCGTACGAATAATAGTGTGTTTTGTATTTAATTTAAATTTAAATTTTGCAGCTAAGACTGATTTTCTAATTACTCAATTCTTCAGATTTAAAACATCAATTCATATCGCTGAAGGCAAATCTGTCTTTTGACTCCCCCATTAATATGATACCAGATGTGAAATTAACTAATGACCCTAAAATAGTATATATTCAAGGTAAAAAATCTCAAATAAACTGTATATAAGAAATCGATAATTCAAGCCTTTTGTGTTAGTAGGAAACTGTACTTTTTTGTGTAAAGCACATAGCGATGAGGCGAATGTATTCCAGTGCTAGGTAATATTCGTTATATTTAAATATTCAAAAGTAATGTTACGAAACGTTCCTCACCATATTAATGGATTAGTGAATCATTTTTAATTAAATTCACTTAACACAATTAGTTTTAAAAAATTGAGAAATTGAAAAAAATTGAAGAGCTGCAAAAGCAACCCGCACTTTGCTGCCTATAATTGAAGCTTTTTTTACAACATTTCTTTTTATAATTACCAACCTAGATCTAGGGATGTAAGTCGATGTTGATGTACATCGCTGTCTCTTTATAAATAATCGATGCATGGTCGATGCATCGCAAAAAAAAAAACATCGATGCATTGATGATAAAAAATTAACTTTCCATAGAAAAAAAAGCTATTATTAGGGAGCTAATCAACATAGATGCTTGAAATAAAAAGTGTTTATATATCAAGAGAGACAGTGATAGCATTTTATTTAATGTTGTTAATCAAAATAGTACTCGTAATATTGACTTTTGATGAACTTGTATGGCTTACTTAAAAAAACTGATTATATACAGTTTTTAAAACAACGACAACATATTAAGTGTGATATTACATACGAAAAAAGAAGATCAAATAATTATCAATCTAAAATTTATATTATAAAATACACATTTTAACGAAAACATCAAATAATTTATAATTAAAATATACCTTCTTCGGTAAACCACACAAAGAAATGTGACCGCCAAACAAAACATAAATAATGTTTGATGTTTGGACAAACATCGATGTATCGACGATGCATCTTTAGCAAAAAAACATCGGAAAACATCGATGCATCGTGGTAAAAACATCGTCGATGCTCGATACATCGATGTTTTTTTACATCCCTACCTAGATTTAGTACTTGTATTTATTTTTTAATGTGTCAATTATTTCAACAGGTAATTTATTTACATTTATATGCCTTTCAACTGCTTTTAATTGTTATATTGAATAAAATTATAATTATTATCCTTAATAAGTGAAAGACGAATATAAATGTAACTGTTTTTTTAAAGATAAATAATTGTTACTTGAAAAGCCAGTTCATGCACCGTGTACTGTGTTTTGTGGTTTATGTATTTGCTAAGCTTGTCATGTGCCCGTACAGGTCATGTGCTAGTGTGGAAAGCGCATGACAGCTAACTGCTCTGGCATTGTTCTGTTGCAGAGAAATTAGCTTTTGTCAAGCAGCTCTTGTGCGCGTTACAATTACAATTTAAATAAGTCGCTGCTGTTCAAAATGAGAAAAATTTATGCGAAACAATGTATTGAAGTTAAGTATAAATCAAACAATTGTTTATTGTACATTTTTGGAAGAAAATTATAATTAAAATGATCTCTAATTGCAAAATTGTTGTTCTTTCGATTGTTTATATCTGAAATAATTCATTAACTTCATTTTATCAACATGTAAGTGCTATGTTATTTAAATGCAGGTAGTAGTATATATGAGTACCTGACTGGCGCATAACTAGTTGGGTATGGCTTGAATTTAGGAGTGGGGCAGCTAGATGTCTATTACTTTTCTACCAACTCCTGCTTCACGAAAAAGGAAGTTTCAAGCCCATCGCACAAATTACATTAAAAATGCAAAAATTCATAAATTCATGACATGTCGCCATCGTCTCCGCACGTCTTTGAGAACAGCGTTATAGTTGTTGTTGTTGCTGTTGTTACATGAAAGCGCAATGCTTTTTGCTAAACAAAATGGCGCCATGAGCGCCACAGTTGCCTGTGGAACCCAAAACGACTTGAGTTAATTATTCATGCAATGTCGTTGGCAGCAGTAACAAGAATAGCAGCAGCAGCAGCAACAACAACAACTCTGGCAAACAAACTGTGCACAGCGGGGCCGTAGGGGGGGTGGGTGGTTGGGTGGCGTGGCCTAGGATGGACCCTTTTTAATATTTATGAACACAACCGATTCTCTAATTATAATTAGGAATTGAAAAGTTAGCACAAAAGCACAATAACAACAACAACAGCAACAACAACATGAACAACAATCACAAGACACGCAACAAAAGTTTGTGTGCACTGAATCATAATTAAAGGGGTGTATGGGTGGATATCATAAGGGGGGTTGGAGCTTGTGCTCGACGACTTTTTGTTGCTTGCCGGTGGGGTTGAAGAGTGAAAGGGCCAGCGGCGGTGGAGAGCTTCAACAAAATGGCGCGCACAATGGCATTTTAATGTGCGGCGCACTTGAAATTTTTTCGCAGCACAGTGTAATTTGGCTGCCGAAAATAAAAAAACACCATAAAGTTTTGCAAATGATGTGCCTTTAATATGTGAGACCATAAAGCGTCTAATATATGTATGTAAGTAGAAATAGAATTGGGTCGCTTTAAACTGCGCATTAAAATGTTCCTAATTATATCATACCATATCTTAACCAACTAATTAATTACTTTTCTATTTAGTATGACTGCATGGCGTTCCGTAAACATTTAAAATAAATCATCCCAATTAAGGTGCTCCGTCCTGGGAATGAAAATGGTGTTCTATTCTAACAAGACCTGTAGTGTCCAATTTCCTACAGGGGCAATCATAAATGATTTGAGTTGTCATACTCTTATATTTTATCTATTATGCTGCGGTCACCTTGGATAAGCGGAGCAGCATCATACGATTTTGCCGTTGCTTATCAGTACATACGTTTTTTTTGCAGACTTCGGCTAAGCGCTAATGTTGTTGTTCATTCAAGATCGGCTTTGGCTGAAAATTGCATAGGGCTAGCTAAAGTGTTTGCATGGGGTACAGTTCACTTCTATACCGACTTCTGAGTGGAGCAGACTAAGTCTGACAAGTGATTGTGTCCAAGAGCCGATTATAATGCATTGCACGTGGAAAAAGAAAGAATTAACAAGAATTGAATTTAACAAAAAGTTAAAGTAAATATAAATTCCCCAAAACCAGTGTTTATTCAGTTTTTCTACTAGAGTGGCCAGGTAATTTAGTGTCGTTCTATTATGAATATAGCCTACAATTTCAACTAATTACAGTGCCTAGTGCCAGTGCCCTTACCCTCACCCTTGGGTTTTTGATTCCTGATTAGGGTCGCCCCAAATCTCGGGTATATGTCACATATATATCTATGCGTGGTAAATCTTCGCACGCATAAGCAAACGTGGAGGTTCATATAAAACCCACTTATCTGACGGTGACGTCATGGCTAGGCTGCAGTCGCCGCTTTAGTTACTGGCGACAGCGCTGCAAGCGTCGCTGCGACCGTTTTCTGTATTTCGGCAACTGCGCTGTGGCTGTTTTTTTATATCAATTGGAGCTGCAGCTGTTTCATCAAATTGGAGGCGTGGTGATTTCTAAGCCTAGCCAGATGCTGTCTAACGGGACAATGTTTGAATACTTTTTTTCTGAGCGTCGCCGAAATGTATTTCTGGATCGCCGAAGGAAAAATGCGATGCCATCTCTGAAACGACCAATTTTCCCAATGATGTGCTAGGTCTTTTCGCTTTGCTTTATATAATGAAAATCGTGGATCACTCTTAAGTGACTAAAAAGAATTGCTAATTTATTTGTATTTTTTTTTATCAGGCAATTCGGGTGCTGCGTCACATTACGTCACTTCAGGTTAAAAATAGTTTTTTTTCTTTAAAGTGTTCTTAATATCTTAACTGATTTGAAAAAAAAAAGGAAGAAATGTTAAATGAAATGATAATGGACCATGCGTTAAAAAAAAAACAAAAAGTAAAATACTTTAATTTAATTTTTTTCTTTGGTAATTAATTGTAATCTTTAAAAGTTTCAACTCACGCATGTTTATGTAAAAGTTTGATCCACTATAATTGTAATTTTTTTAAGAATTCCAGCATGGTCTCATTGAGCTCAACGACGGCATTGCTTGGTAAGTCAAACCTATGTATTTTTATAGTTGATCATGACTCCTTTACATAACCTACATGCGTTTAATTTAAACCAGTTATTTGAAACTATACCCGCCTATTTCTTTCTATATTTAATTTAATTGTATTTTTTTATTAATATTCTCCTAATTATTTCGGAACTATGTTTACTTATTAATTTTCAACGGTCAACACATTTGATTCAATTCGAATTTGAAACAATGAATTTTAACTCCCCCTTTAAAGTACAAATAAACCAAGAAATTTTTGAATTATTAGAAAAATAGACATGAACGCTTAAAATTTATTTCTAAGGGTCTATCGCTGGACATCAGGCCAATGACTGAACAAACCGAGTAGCTTAATTAGAAGTTATAGTAGGGACAACCCTTAATTACCAACATCGGTGTTGTCTAGGTAGGGTGGGTAAAGAATAGGGTTCCACCAACATCAGGATACCCTCACAAATCGATCTAATTCGCGGTTGCATCTGTCGATTATACGCTAAATTATTTCGGGGAATATTGCTAGTAGTTTGCATGTACTTTAGTTTCTTTCTTTGTCATGTGCACTTAATTATTGTGGCAGTGTGTTACCTGGTAGGAGTGAGGAAGAACCCCACCCCATCCGACGAGCTAATCCCGAGCATAGCGAGAAGTGCACGCCTCCTATCTCCTCCATGGTCAGG